CAACAAAGCAGGTAAGCAGGCAAATCTTTTAGCCCAAACCTTCCTTTTCGCTGCTTTTTCCAGGAGCGAGGGAAATCCCTCCTCCCCTCTTGTAGGCTGCTAAAATCAGTCAGATTCAGCCGAAATCCTCCAGCACGGACTCACACCGGATCCCTTCTAGCCAGGAACACTGCTCAGATAAATTTGACTGGAACTGTCATGTCACCGTCCAGCTACTCCACCGCTATACTTTGGCCAGCTGACAGTTGTCATTCCTTCACGGCCGCCATTGTCGGCCGTTTTCCACCTCCGCTTGGCTTGTCAAAGCTTCTCCTGGGTTCAACGATCCTGGTTGCCACCTAGAACCGCTCCCCAGGACGCCTTGTTATTCCCAGTCCCCCTCCAGGGAACTGGGGACCCCAAAGGATCTGTCAAGCAGTCGGGAACGGGGTTAGATGCTCCGGAGAATTGTCCAACACACCCGTTCTTCTTGACAGCTGGCCCCGCCCCCCGACTCTTTGAGCTTTTTGTATTACATATTCCATGTGTAGCCTGCATATTGTTATGGCACAAAATACTATTTTAAGATACTTAAATTACTTGATCTGCTCTATTGGATGATTATTTAATTTCCAGATATGCATTTTAGGGCATTTTGTAAACATCAGTACTTTGGTTCTATTTTAATTAATTTCTAGGGCTTCTGTATTTCAGTGTTCAACTGAAATACACAATGCTGTTTTTAAACCAGCATTGGGAGAAGAATATTATATCATATCCATATAAAAGGATTTCCATTATTATGGAAACTATCTACAAAGAAAAACAAAGGACAGAAAGATGAAAATATTATTCTTATCCCTATCAATTCTCTGATATTATTCACATCTTGGTCCAATCATCACAAGAGAAAGAAACAACAAATACAAGGAACAAAACTCTACTGGGTAAGGCAAAGAAGGCTCTTACCAAAGAGTAGATTGAGCAGCACCTCACGACCTGCTGAGCTGCCACTTCTGTAAAGTCCGTACAATGTACCAGTTAGCCAAGGAATTCCATGTCCTGACACCTCTATGACCATCATGAGAGGACGAACACTACCCCATGGGGAATTCTCTCCAGCACATATACCCAGTAGTTTAGAGGCCCACAAATCAACAGCCAAAAGAGAATGCAGGGCAATACCCCACAAAGAAGGATTGAGCTTCATACAGTCCTCTTCGGGTAAAGCCTGTTGAGGGCCAGTACTAGTAGGAGAGTCTTTATGATGAGACATATTTTCTGGGGATATTGGGCCTCTCTGATCTGGCAATGACAAGAACTCTAGCCTATTGCCATAAGCCCGTCTCTCACGAATGCTCTTTGGACTGTTCCTAGGACTTGGCATGATGGTGCTGATATAGCATCTGCGGAGGAAGGAAAAAAAGTTTGTTGCATCAAATGTTTCTATACGTAGAATCATACAGATGGAAGAGGCTATGTAAGCCATCAAGTCCAACCATGTAGTCTATATAGGAATCCAAATTATGCTTGCTCTTGAATTTATCCAAAGGGAAGCCCACACACTAAGCCAGTGGTGGCGAACCTATGGCACGCATGCCAGAGGCAGCACTCAAAGCCCTCTCTGTGGGCAGTGCACCATGCCCCAGAGATGGCAACTGTCCCTCTTCAACCAGCTGCCCGCTAACTCGCCGAGGTCCATATGGCTGGATGCATCCCAGTACCCATGCGCTCGCTGGCCTCTGTGTGCAGGGGCCAATGGTGTCAGGCAGCAGCCGCCCCGGCCCCTGCCTCGCCTTGCCCTGCGACAATGGCTCCCCTGCCCTGCCTTGCCTTACCCCGCAGGACGAGCCTCCTGCCCCCTGCCCCACCTGCCAGAGACCCCCTGGATTTCCACCAACGCTGCCCGGCCCCCACAGGTGTCCCTTCCCACAAGCAACATCGAGGTGATCACACCCACCTTGGCCACACCCACCCAGTGTGCCATGAGCAAAGCCACACCCACCCAGTGGGCCACGCCCACCAGGCACCCGGCGATAAATAAGTGGGTTTTGGGTTGCAGTTTGGGCACTCTGTCTCTAAAAGGTTCGCCATCACTGCACTAAGCAATTGTTGAACTGCTAGCAAAGGTTCCTTTTCTAACATTTAGTATAATTGGTATCTGCCTTCTTATAACTTAAATTCATTATTCTATGACCTATAGACATATAGAAATGAAAATGAAATATTTTCAAGTATATGGACAGTTCCATTATAGGTGGTGCTCAATTAACAATCACTCATTCAGCAACCATTCAAACCTGCAAAGGAGCGGAACAAGTAGTATCTACGAACGGCTATTGCAGCACCTCCAAAATTATGTGATCATGATGTAGGGTGCTCAGCAACCAGCCTGGATTACTGACTGTTGCAGCATCCCACAGTCACAATTTGCAATGATCACAATTTGCAACCTTCCCTGCCGGCTTTTGACAAGCAAGTCAATGGGGAAACCAGCAGGAAGTCAGAAGCTGCCATCATATTGAGGTCCTTGTTTGATGACTTTCATGGTCCTTGCAACTGGGGACTGCTGGAAGTCACTGCTAAGCAGCATGGTCAAATGACTTCACACTTTATGATCACCTCAGTGATGGAATTGTGATCCCAATTACAATTATTAAGCAAGGACTGTCTGTATATACACTTCTGTCACTTTTTCTCAGGATCAAATACCAAGCTTCTCTATTTTCTCTACATAGGATATATTTTCCAGTCCCTAGATCATTTGTACTGCCTTTTTCTGAATCTGCCTTTGAATCTTTCTTAAAATATGTTGCCCAAAACTGGACATAACACTTGAGATAGAATCTAACAAAGGCAAAAAAAACCTGCTTCCCGTTTTGGTATTATTTCAATTGATGCAGTTCAAAATTTTATTTGACTGTTTTGAAGCCACATTACACAACTGCCTTATATTCATTTCATTACTGCCTTCTTCAGTATTACTCTATTTTAGGGGTGTCAAACTGCCGGCCTGCGGGCTGGATGCATCTTAGCAAAACTGCGCCCACCCCATTGTCGGCAATGGCAAAAAAGTCATGATACGTTGCGACACGTCACGTGATGTTGCGAGTTTGACACCCCTGCTCTATTTATTTCACCCAATTGTATATCTTCCACATAGTTCATAGACATTTACACCATCTATTTATAAGTTATTTTATTTTATTTTTTTTTATTGAAAATTTTTAAAATTTTAACAATATAACTCCCCACCTCCCTCATACCCCACCCTTCCCCACCCCCCTCCCTTCCCCCCGACTTCCCAGAGCTACACACAGGGTTTACAATACAATAATTATATTCTGTCTTAAATTATATTA